GTCTCTTACTTTACTTGCATTAAGATTATGAGTACTCACCTCCACCAAAACATCATATGACACGACTACTCGCCTACACATAATTTCATATGAATCATGGGTACTCTCCTCCATTTCCATTCGTCATAATAAGAACTTGGGGAATTACCTTATATCCTTAAAATATGGAGGTCAAGGGTAGTCACCTCTAGCCTCATAATTCATGAAGCACTTTAGTATAGATTTATTTTAGGTGAGAAATATTTTCAACCTAGAATCATTTATGAGAGTAAATTTTCATATTAATTCAATCATGCCTATGAAATCATTATGCAAAGTATCCATTCCACACTACCTCATCAACAACCAACCATTCATTGTCTAGAATTTACTCTCAAAGCCCTAAATATAGTTATTCATCTTATATGCCTCAATCTCAAGATAATATATAATGTACCACATCAATACTATTTTAATACACTTAAATCCTCAATTCCCTTTTTAATAGAATAAACCCACATGCTTAAATTCATCTTTCTTGAAATGGGTTAGGTATGGGTACATGTAAAGTAATACTATAAACTTTTAATGCTATTAATCAAATGATAAACAATCATAATCCACTCAATTAGATCGAAACCCATAACATTAGAAGAAACTTTTACTAAGACTGGTGAAATTCTTCTTCTAAATTGGGAATATTATGGGAGCTCCATAGAAGAAAAGATTCCATGGATGAAAAGCCATCGTACATTAGTTCGCAAAGAGCACAAAATCTTTAAGATTATGAGACTTGATTTTGACCTAGATTCAATCTTTTCCTTCTTTTTCTACCTTTTAGAGAGAGAATATTTGAGATGAAGATCTTGGGTTTTTATTTTTTGTTCTTGAGAGTGATTTAATGTTGGGGGAAAATTAAGAATAAAAAACTTATAGACTTTTCCAGTTTTGGAGTAAAACAACGTGCTATTGCATTAAGAAAATATGAAAAGACACAAAGGACCCTAACTTAAAAACTAAGGGACCTTCACACTTGAGCTCACCAGACTCTTGTGGTCGGTGAAAATATAAACATGGACACCATACAAATAATGCCTCCAAATCATTAAGGCAAATACAATTGCCGCTAATTCAAGATCGTGGAAGGATATTTGTTCTCATGAAACTTTAGTCGCTTTGAAGAATATGCAATCATCCTACCATTTTTCATAAGCGAGAATACATCACAACCTAACTCGATAAACATCACAATAAATAGCAAAACCATCCGTCCTTTCAGATAAGGTAAACAATGGAGCGGAAGTAAGCCTATCTTTAAAATCATGGACACTTCTCCCACAAGTTTTGGACCATATGAACTTTGCCTTCTTTAGAGTCAAACTCATCAAAAAAGAAGCAACGGAGGAACACTCCTCAACAATCCTTCTATAGTAACTAGACAAACCCAAGAAGCTTCTAATGTGTGTCAGTGATAGAAGTTTACGACAACTCTTGACCCCATCTGTCTTAATCCGATTTATCTCAATACCCTCACTTGAAATAATGTGGCCAAGAAAAGCTATGGACCTTAGCCGAAACTAACATTTTCTAAGCTTAGCAAAAAGTTGTCTTTGCCTTAAGAATTTACAAACCTCAAATGATTAGGGTGATCATCCTCCCTCCTCTAGTAAATTAACTTACCATAAATGAACACAATCATGAATGTATAAAGGTACTGTCTACAAACCCTATTCTTGTGTACAATTAAAAAAAAAGAATAGAACCACCTTTTTAATTATTTTTAATCTTTAATAAGCAAACATAAGGAAAAATTTTGTTGTAAATTCAATAAAATCATAGATCACGTAATAAAGGTAAAACATGTATATAGTGTGTGTTTAGGAGAGGAGGAGGAATTTAGGAGACACGGGCTCAAAAGGTCAGTCAACTATTGATAATTATCAAACAAAATCATATTTAATGTAACAAATTAAATAGGTCACTCATGTTTATTTATATATCTTTTAAAGTCCCTCTATAAATATTTTATCAATTTAAATTGACATGTCATTTTATTTTGTTTACATAAACTTTATTTTTTCAATCCATGATTCAATAAACTATGATTCTACCTTAACCATAGCTCGAAGTTGCAACAACTTGTAAATTTTATAAGTGTAGTATTTATTTTTATGAACAAAAATAAATAGTGAGTCATGATTAAAAGAGAAAATATTCATTTACATAAATTCTTCGATAAAATAGATTATTCGATTATACTGTGTTAAATGAAATTACAATTCTACATTGAAAAAAAGATAAGTAGTTAAGAAGCAATAAATATGCTAAAATTTTTCCAAATATTGAAGTATGTACTGCAAATATCTGCACGAATATTTACATTAAGCTAAAATAGGTATGTAAAAGAATATGTTGAAAGCAAAAATTACAATTTCCCTCATAATTTTTTAAGCAAATAAGTTTAATTTTAGTTATGAGTTAGGGTTAAATTGAATAATTGATTACTGTAGTGTAGATTGAAAAAAAAAATTTGTATGGACTAAATTTTCTCGTTCAAATATTTAATATGGTGACTTTGAAAAGGTAAAAATAAATTTGAGTGACCTTCTAATTAAAAAAAATAAGAAAAAAATTTGACTTTATGAAATAATTATCAATAGTTAAGTGATTGTAATATCATTTTATACGAATAACCTTCTAAGTAAGACAATACACTAAATTTTATCACTTCTCTGGTTGCCAAATTCACTTTTCAAGTCCTTCCACCCCACCCCACCCCACCCCACTATATATAGCACTCCCATTATAAAACCCTTGCACCTATAAAAAAAACCCTCAGTAGTCACTCTAAAAAAACACAATCTTTCAAAATCTCCAAATTCCCAAAATTAGTCATTTCATTTCCCTCTATTTTTTGTTGTTTTGGTGAAATTTCAATGGGAAAAAATATTTCAGAGAATCTGACTTCACCTAATCATCAAACAATCAATTTTGATGAGATTGAGGGGAAAAACATCAATTTTTCATCGATGAAAACTGAAGTTGAAGAAGAGGAAAAAAATGAAAAGTATTTGGGGTTGTTTGAGGTGTCACCCGATCAAATCGAATCTGCTCAAACGATTATCACTAGTGCTGATTCAAATTCAATTGGCTATATTGTTTCTTCAGATAGAAGTGGGTACTCATGTTCCGATGGAGATAAATGGTCTCCATTAAAAGGTGAGTCTAGTTCTTTAATTGGGGCCATTTGTTCAAGTGAGCTGGAGAATTTTGAAAAGGTAGTTGCGGAAGAAAGTAAGCTTATTGAGTACAAACCTTTTAAAATAACGGTATGATTCAAAATTTTAACTTCTTTTATGTTATAGAATTTTAAAGTTTTAGCCTATTGTTATTACATTAAATTATTACACCATTAATTGTGTAGTGAAATGGAGTGGGCTTGCCACTTTATAAGATCTTTCACGTTATACAACTTATACTTTTAGCCTCTTTTATGACATATTGAGCAATAAATTACATAGAAAAATAGCAGAAGATAACAAACTTTTAAGCTTTTCTCAAACAATACAATTTACCGCGAAATAGCATGGGCGGACCACTTTAAAATTCTTTTAAGTGATATAATTTATGATTTTAGCTTATTTTAATGACATCATAATCATGTATTAGTATAGTCTGGGATAACCATTTTAAACCTCTTTCAAGTAATATATTTAACAATTTAACGTAGTTTTATGACATCCTAATCAATAAACTAGGTAGTAAAATAAATACGGTAGGGCTAGTTACTCTTTTAGCTCGTTAATTGATAAAAGATCTTTCTTACGATAAAAAATTCAAGTTTAAAAATTTACACTCTTTATCATGCGGCTAATTAATATAGGTATACTTTGCAATGTCATACATTACTACATAAAATCTCCAATTCCATAAGGTTAGCCGTACAAACTAGGTTGTGGATTAGATTGTGTTTTTTGTTGTTGTTATTGTAAAAAATTCATACATACATACATACACACACATACACACATACACATATATATAAACCACCTAGCTCTACTATATTTTGTTGTGTGTATTCTACATTTTAACTCGTTATTTTTAGGGCATTGGCATGCGTAACTTAGGAAACACATGCTTTTTAAATGTGATTGTCCAATCTTTTATGCACACGGTTGTGTTGCTTCAGCTTCTCAGATCGATCGATCATGTATCTCCATGTCTAAGTAAGAATCAACTAAAGATTTTTCCTTTTATTTTTTATCCATTTTTATTTTCTTGTATCATAGCTTACCATCATTTCTTCTTGCAGCTTATGATTACGAATTTTGTGTGGTGTGCATCATCAGAGAGCTTATTGACATTTCTATATTTTATGGGAGATTTTTTGTCTGGCCGATGAAAATTGTTAGCCAATTGAGAAGTATATCAAAACCCAGACATTTATTTTTTTCCTTCTATATCTTACTTTAATTTGCTTTATAGAGAACATTTAATTATCACTATATACCTTATATATCTTTGTGTTTGTTGACATTGTGAAAATATCAGATTTTTCGTCACACTTCAATGTGAACAAACAAGAAGATGCACACGAATTCCTACAGTGTTTTCTCAATAAACTTGAAATTTGTTGTAACTACTTAGACACAAAAGAAAACATTGTAAAGGAGGCCTTTGGTGGTCGCCTTGTGAGCAAGGTAAGCATTTGCATATTTGTTCTCTCTATTTTATATAGTGTCTTTACTCTTGTTGTTTTAGTTTGTTGAAATATTTTTAAAGGCTTTTACTTGAGCCAGGGGTCTATTTGTAACATCCTCTCTACCTTCTAATGTATGGGTAAGAATTGTGTATACTCAATCCTCTACAGACGCCACTTGTAAATAATTTATTTACATTGTTAGTCTATATTATTTAATGTTCAGCTCCGCTGTTGCAATTGTGGTTATTCCTCTATCACACGCGAGCCTCTAATCGATTTAAGCTTGGAGATTGAGGACGTTGATAGTGTATCAGCCGCAATGGAATCTTTCACTAAAATCGAGAAAATTGATTTCTCTTGTGAAAGGTGCAAGACACAAGGGACATTTGAGAAGCAGCTCCTCATTGATCATTCCCCAAATGTTGTTGTCCTACATTTGAAGCGATTCAAATATAATGGTTTAGTTGTTCAAAAGGTGGAAAAGCATGTTTCATTTTCTCTAGAATTGGACATGCTTCTTTATAGCAACGACATCAATAATGTGAGTATCTTCATTAGAGTTTTATAAATATTTTATATTTTGTTAGCATTTACATGATTTTGGTTAAAAATTTTCATTTTCTCAAAAGGAACAAATTGAATACGATCTCTACGCAGTTATAGTGCATTCTGGACCTTCAATCTCTTCAGGACACTATTACAACTTTACTCGTTGTGCTCCAAATGAATGGTACAAATTTGATGACGAGAAGGTACAGAAAATAGTTGAATTTCCTTATTTTGTTAGAAAGTTTGTGTGTTCATGGAAACTAACTTGATATTTTTTTTATTGTCATAGGTTTATTATGTTCAAGAAGATCTTGTTTTGGCAGAGGAAGCATACATTTTATTTTATACAAAGAGGGGTACTGCATGGTTTTCAGACTATATTCAAAGCCACAGACCCTTTTTGTGTCTTGTTAACCCCACAACTACCAATGATTCTAATGAGCCAACTCTAATGCCTGAAGTGAACAATGTAGAGGATAATGATTCCCATGGTAAACTCATCTTCTACAGTTACTTGTTCCACAATACATGTTATTACTTACTTAATATAAAAAACTATCACTCCCTTTTTTGGCAAAACACAATCTTCTACTATTTAAAAATTCATAAGTTTGGTATATTTTTATTGTTGTTGTGTTCCCATTTGCATATAACAATTTCTCAAAAATACTCTCTATTTATACGAGGTAGAGGTAAGATATGTATACACTCTACAGTGAGTTTGTTGTTGTTGTTGTTGTTGTTAACTTGCACGAATTCAAAGTAAGATATATGTTGAAACAAAATTATTACAACGCGATCATCTTCCACTCTGAAAAAATATCTTCTTTCAACTTCAATGAAACTGTGTTCACATACCAACTTACTGTGTTTTTATAGTATTAACAGATCAAGTTTATTGCGAAGATCAATTGCAAGATGTCAAAATAAAGAAGGATGAAAAATTGAAGGATGCATTGAATTGTGGCTCGCATGGAACCTCTGTGAATGAAATGAAGAGGAAGCTGAAAGATTGAAGATTTTTTGTGTTGGCAGGTTTACCTCCTCTTATGGAGCGAGTTGGAGAAGAAACAAAATAAGTAATTTGATCTCATAAACTGTCTTTTTGATAAAATACTTAATGTTTTGATATATGAATTAAATATTTCGAGTTTTTTGATTCAAAGATAGAAATAATTTTTTGATAGATATTTGATGAATTATTCATGCAACCAAAAAATTTTATTGGACATCTTTCTCTTGGACACATAATATAAAATAGAAGTTAATATTACTATATAGAGTTTTGGCTAGCAACTTTGTTTTATCGAACATGTAATCAAAGTCGGGTCAATGATGCAATTAATAACAATTATATCTTAGTCCCCCAAATCACAAATTTTTGGGGGCCTCAATTTTTACTATGAACAAAATTATGGTAAAATATAAATTAATTGTTTAAAAAGTGTTGAACACAATGAATTGCATATTATTTTCTGCTAGCTTCTTTAATGTTTCAAACACTACAACAAGCATAATAAAGTAAGGATCAAGTTATGAATATCTTAGACTAAGACTTTATGGTTCTAACTCTTATTTTTATCAAAATTTGCCAACTTATTACTTATAGAATTTTGTTAACAATTCATAAAATGATTGTATTAATGAAAGGATATTTTTAACCTTGAGTTGATAAAATTTTACCTAACATTAATAATTGAAAAGGAACATGAAATATTCAATTGTATTTTAAAACATTAAGTTGCAATTTTCTTCTAAATGTTTAAGAAAAGTTTATGTTTTAATAAAGACATCTAATGTATGTTTAGATTTTATTTTAGGCCTCAACTTATGTTGAGTTGTCCCAATCAGTAATTAGAATGCTACTCAGCTTCAGCCTAGTTTGAAGGTTGTTCATTGTGAAATGAATAAAAAAGGAAAATATTATATGTATGTTAAAATGAATAAAATAATAATTTACAGACAAATGATTTTCTATCATAAAGGTTTGTTATTACTTTATCACACGTTTAATTGATTAGTGTCTAAGCATGCATAAAATAGATAAACTTAAAATTTAATGTTCTTTCTTTAATTATATAGGGTTAGAAAGAAAATGCACTATCATGCTATTGAGAAATATAAACCTATAAATTAAACAACTTATTTAAATGTACAAGAATAATCTACAAACAAAGGTGGACCCACACTTGCATATTGGGTGCACTTGCACCCAGTGAATTCTCAACAATGTTCTTCAAGAACTCACTTTCTTAACATTCAAATAACTTAGATTCTCTAAATGTAAATAATATTGGCGTGTGGGTGAACCAACCCAACACTATGTGATCTCACACAGTTTTTAAGGATCACTTCCAATAAATTACACTCGCAAAGCTTGAACATCCTTTGTGATTTCTTTATTTCTTTCATCATTTCTCTTCTTTTCTCTCTTCTGCACGCCCTAGTGTAAGTTCTCCTTTTTCTAAACTGAGAAAAGTCTTATTTTACCCCCAATAAATCCCCAAACACTAAATAGGAAATATAGTTAAGGAAAATACTAGTTTTCCCTTCAAAAATCAAAATTTAGACTTTCCATAATCAAATAGCCCAACTTTCAGAACACATAATTCACTCATACAAACTCAGAATCGTGCAAAATTATTGACGTTAGAAAGATAATTCTATGGGATTTTCCACCATGCCTGGAGCTACACCTAACTCATCCTGGGATAGGAGTTCTGTTTGTTTCAAGTTGGTCAAAAACTCACTTTTTAATATACTCAAAGATTTCCAGATTTCTTTATACTTACCAAAAGTAACTATTTTTAGATTTTAAATACTTTTCTAGTTCTTCCTAGTTGCAGATGTTACAATATCTCCCCATTGGAAATATTCGTTCTCCAATGAGATTACTCTTACTAGGCTAAAGGCGTCATATCAAACATACAATTTAAACACCCAACAAGCAGAATGCAATTGCGACATCCCAACTTATTATCAATGCCAAGAAAAGGATTAGTATCATTAATTTGAAGCTTCTCCGGATCCGAAGAGGAAAGGGTATATCTTCTTCATATCATCTTTAGCTTCTCAAGAAGTTTCTCTACAAACTGATTTCTCCACAGAACTTTGACAGGATGCTTCTTCCTCTGTTCTCAACTTGCAAACTTGGCAATCTAGGTTTTGAACCACAACCTCCTCATAACACAAGCTATCGTTGATACCAATAAATTCAGTTGGTATGTTATTATGGCAGCTCTTGCAGTTTCTTTCTGTTTCATATATTTTTGGTATTTTTCCTTGATTTGGTAATACTCTTGATAACTCTCGTTCGCAGTTCCTGCTGCATTTAATTTTCCCCTTTCGATTTCGTTTTTCATTTTTTTTTTCTTTTAGAGAGCATTATATGTACTCCCTTTCAAGGGCATATGGATTCGAACCATATTTACTTTATTCCTTTTCCCTTCCTCCCTCCCTCCGCTTCTTTTTTCTTCTATGTTTTGTAATTGTGTTTGTTTGTTCTTTTTCGTTTGCTGTGGACCTGCCTTTAACACTTGTTTATATAAGGCACGTCCATATCGTCTGCTTTTGCAGTTAATTTTTTTTCTGTTTCTGCTGTTTTCATTTTTATTTTTTTCGTTCTGTGTAGCCTCCTCTCTGCTGTTTTCAAGGCGATTCTGCGCTGTTTTTAAGACGATTTTTCGTGTTTAAAGCCGATTCGGCGCTATTTTTACATTACTTACGTAATTTTTCCTCGAGATGTGAGACGCTATATGGAATTGTGCTAACTCTAATGGTAGCTTTAACTCACCAGCTACATTGTCAATCCTTTTAGATATTCTTTAAGGGCCAAAATAATATGGTTACTTAAGGAGATTTACTTTGTATGGGCGAGAGTATGGATCTTATTTATGAATTTAAAAAATATTCTTTGAAGGTATATATGATATTTCCCTTTTCGATTTTGTGATTTATGTAATGAATATATGATGTGGCTTATGCTTAGGATGTATCTTTGATGAATTATTGCCCTAGTTGCCTTCCATGATAAGATAGACTAAAGGTGATAATTCCTTTGTCTATATGAAGTAAGTTTATAATAAGGTAAGTATGGTTATGATTACTTCAATGTTATGTTATGTTTGAATGGTATTATCAGATGTCTTTCATGTACTGTACAAGTGTACTTTGAGGTTACATAGGAGTATAGTGCCCTTATGGTAGAAAAACCTAAGACTTGACCATGTCTATAGGCTATATTTAAGTACCTTTATGATTTTAGGTTACATGAGAGTTGTCTTAGTATGATATAAATGACTAAGAGTTGAATAATGCTCATATGATGCAAATGTTGGAGAATTTAATTATGATTATGATATTTTCTCTGATGCTTATAAATGTTGTTTCATGATGTAATACATATGATAATGGATTATGTTGACTAACTCCTTGTCTTATGTTGTTAATTATTTTTCTAGCTAACATATTTAGTACACTTTGTACTAATGCGAACTTTGCCTACATTCTAATCAAATGTAGGGTTTGCAGACTTGAGTTTGATTCCTGGAGATAGGTTTTAATGGAGCAAATAGTTCATGATTTGGTGAATTCTCATAGCTTCGAGCACTAAACATTTATTTCATGTTTTGAGACTATTGTATCGGTTGTTTCTGAAGGATTTTAATTCAAGTTGAGTTTAGATGCTGTGAGATGAAGTGTAGAAAGACTTCTGCTTGCTTTTATAAAGATTTTGATTGTATGGATAAAGTTTTAAATTTTTTGTACTTTTCTATTATCTTATGTTCATAATATGCCAAGGGCTCTTATGAGACACCTTTTGGATCAAGTACACCATGTTACAACTAGGATGTAATCCTGAATCATGATAATGTTTCTAATCCGCACACAAGGTTTAGAATGGTTCTAGGATTGTCTCAAACCACGTTGAGTATAGTCTTTTTCATAATATGAAGAGCACAACATTTATGAATAGGTAGATATTGGATGCTTAAGAAATCTCACTTCTTCATTCTCAAAGTCGTGCCATAGAGTTTAACTTTATAAAGTCTCTTTCCTATTCCTTTTTTCGATGGTGTTTATGATAAGACCGCTAGAAGGGCTTATGCTACAAGTAGTGTGTGAGAAAGGTTGGTTGTGATGCCAGTTATTGCAAGGTAACTATATAGACATAGATGCTGTCTTCAGTATGAATGGGTTGTTAATGGTTATGTGCATTTGATGGTAGAACCCGAATTATTCATGATGGGTTTTGAAGTATGTTGATAGATTTGAGGAATAGGGTGTTTAAGTAATGCCTAGAATAGTTGTCTTAATAGACTCATCTAGAAGGGTAGAAGTGTAATTTACCTTTATTTAGAATAATTTTGTATGATAAATATGAAATTTTAGTGATAACTTGCTCCGACTTTAGAATTGAAAGAAGCGATGCTTAAATAAGTTTGTATAGGCTTGCTCCGAAGTTGGAGATAATGTGCTTAGAGAGCAAGGCCGTTGATTGTCGTTGATGATATTCGCGAGTAAGGTTTGCTTGAAATTTTCACCTAGAGAGGTATAATGAATATGACAAGTTAATTCCCAGTTTGGTAGGCTCATATATGAGATGTTGAGTGTTGTTTGTGAGATTGCTTGTGAGATAGAGTTACATAAAGAGAACCTCTTTAAGTTAGAAGTACCTGTGGGGACCTTAGACCGGCAAGTTAAGAAATAGAAGAACAAGAAAAGTGTTCCATGAAGTAGAATGGAGTGTCCTTTAGTGACATTTTTAGTATGGAGTGTTTCATCGTTTTTCCTTGTATTCCTTCCTTAACATTTAATATCTTGAGATGATAAGTTTCTCTTGATTTTTTTTATATGAAGTCATGCGTGATTTGTATGTTTCTATTATTTCCTTACGTGGTGCACGTTCATGAAAGCTTTTGATATAAAAGAAAATGAGTTTGCATTGTTTTCATCATGTTGTAGTGGTTTTGAGTAGAATTGATATAGACTTCATGAGAGGAATTAATGAGCATGC